GGTAAGTATATAAAACATATGGTTAAACATACGATTAAATGGTTCAACATGACAAATCTAATTTCTATCAGAACTATATTCATAGGCGCAAATAGGGAGTTACATTGGCGGGGGCTCAAGCCCTTTAAAATATTCAACAAAAATCCCCCCCTCCACATCAAATAAAAATATTTTTTTTTTTATTAGCTACCTACTAGTATAAAATTATTACTTATTAATGCACATATATTTATTAATAACTAGATAATTGGTTACAATATTAAATTTATTCTTCTATTAGATTTGGCAAAGTCGTTTAAAACTCAGACCCTGTCAATATTGATATCTTTTTCAATATTAATTATCCCTAAACTGCTAAATCTTTCTTGGAGCATAGTTGTTCGCATCCATGTTTTCAACCTCCTCATTGCGGAAAATGACCTTTCACAAGTAGCGGAATTGATTGGTAAAGTTATTGCTACATTAAATAATTTGTAATAATTTGGAAAGATTTGTTTGCTATTCAATGAGTTTAAGTGATTTTGCAGAACTTCCAAATCAACATTAACTTTCAAGACATTTTTGATAACCATCATTTCTGATCTTAAAGAATCTTTGGAAACACCAAATAAATCCTAAAAGTTATTATTTACAAATTAACTATCAAAAGTATACAGTAAATAAAAAGTAGATTCGAACATTCAATAACGTTGTTTAGCATAATTTATTAATATAAATACATCATAAATTAATATTAAATTTAGTGTTTATAAAAAAAAATACTCCTAATAATTCTCATATTACTTTATAATGATTAATAAATTGTAAACTTTCATTAAAATTTAATTTTAAAAAGTTGTCTACAGATTGGGCTATTTTCATACTTTCTGGTGAAAACCGTTTTTCCATATTGACAATAATAGTATCAAGTATAGGATAAAAACAATGCATTTTCCAATAATTTTTTATTTATTGAAGTACCCATTAGTACATCATTAACACGGTCTTCTTCTGCCGAAGTAGTTGACATTACAGCATACTGTTGTAAATATGTAGGTTCCCTTCTAAGACGTTTAGAGCCACCTGAATTAATTAAAATTATATCAATAATTTGAATTATACATTTATTTTATTTTAATAGGTATTATTATAATAACACACCTTGTGAAGGAATATCCAGTGACACATCATGTTCTTCACAAAATATAGTAATATCATTCCACAGGTTATCAAAATATACATCTGAACGGTTATTTTTCAGAGTATCAATCACACCACATACTAATGAACTAGATTTTCCAAGAGTTGTAGACTTTGATTGCAATTGAGTACTTAGAATGTTAATAATTTTTAAAATATCATTAAGAACAAACAAATGTACCACAAATTTCCCATTCTTTATTGTAGACAGTAGACCTATTGCTTAGGCAACATCTTTATCTTTTTGTAATTCTATTTCTTCATCAAGAATATATAGAATAGGTTTAAAATTTGCGATGACTGAGTTACAACTCTTATAACGGCAGACCCATGGAATATCTGATAACTGTGGGATTTTTGTTTTTTTAACTCCTAGTTTTTCTTGAATGTCAGTCATTTTTTTATTTTTCGTAGGTTGATTAAAATGAACATACAACGCTTCCAGGCCATTAAATAAATTCCGCGCGTCCTCAAATTAAATTTTAAAATACTTGATGTCATATCATTTTTATTAAAGCACAGAATGTCAGAATTTAATACTCCACAACTGAAATAAATATGTATACATTTGTTACATTTATAAATATATTTGATCTCACCTTTAAATGTTTACACATATCAATGACCACAAGATTTAATTTGTGTGCCATACAGTGTACATAAATAGCTTTAGGATGTATTTCTTTAAGCTTTGCCTGAACTCCACCAGTATGACCTGACATCACGCTAGCACCGTCATATGAATGACCATTATATTAATTTTGTCCAAGTTCAAATAATTTAAAAACTGTAATAGAGCACCAATTAAACTGTCAGCATTTTGACTTTGAGATACATCTAAAAATCCAACAAATCTTTCCTCTACTTTTAGGTTTTTTGGGTAACGAACACACACAGCTAACTGTTCTTCCTTGTGGCATCTAGTATTTTTTTTTTATAAAACAATTATCAAAATGTAGCTTAAGACTATTTAAGTAAATAAACAATATAATATTAAAAAATTACCGAGATTCATCACACGAAAGGCTATACATTCCAGCACTTGTTATATCTTCAACAATAGTATTCCTTACATATTTAGCGCATATTTCAATGATTTCATTTTGTATTAACCAGCTTGTTGGTTTAGCATAATTTAAAGCAAAAGTTGGATTATACTTTGCCATTAGTTTGCATGCTTCTTTTAAGTTACCTACATACCATAAATAGGTATATAATTAATTAACATTAGCTAGGTACTTTTATGAATAAAAAAAAATATATGGTACCTACTAAATTCACCCAACTCACCTTGATTCAAAGATGTTTCATTTTCAATATGACCTCTAAATGCTACTCCTTGATTTGCCAAAAATAATATGATATCAATTAATGTTAGCATGTAATCTCTATTTTCTAATATTTTATCACGGTGCGCATTTGTAACTAATGTATGAACAGAACCAGTAGTTTTAGATTGGATATGTGCATGCCACTTTGTCATACAAGTCAAATGGTACTGACAAATAGAATGCAACTCCAACTTTGATTTAGTGTATTTCGATCCTTTTCCTCTAGAGCCAAAAATCTACAAAATTAATATATAGTATGTTTATATAAATAAATAATTTACAAAAATGAATATATATATATACATATATCAAAATAGTTTACGAATAGTCATTTAACACTTACTTTTTTCCAATTTCTAAATCCTTTAGTTGAAAATTCCATGTTAGCTACAGTTCTATACCCAAACATTCTACAAGGATAGCAAAATATAGAATCCTCAACCACACTATACTCTATCCAATCAAAACGACTATATACCGTAGAAGAAAAACCTCTATTTTGTGAACCAAATTGTGTCTGAGGGTATTTCTAAACAGAATAAAATTATTGATTATTATTTAATACTCATTAGTTTCAAAACTTGAGCTTCAAAAGGCTATGTTAGAAGATAAAAATATATTAGAAACACTATAATGTATATTTTATAGGTAGGTAAAATACCATTATATTTATTATTTTAATATTTTAAAATAAAATAAAAAATAAAAATAAATACAGACTAAAATATCTAATTATTGTAACTAGCCAACTAGGTATATAATTAAATTGTAAAACTTACTTCTAATATAGGTTTAGCAGGACCTGAATCAATATCACCTAAATCATTTACCCTGGTATTTGACTGAAAACTATTAATTTGTGGATCTGTGTAGGAGTTTGATAGTAGACTTGTATTTTCTTCTAGTAATGTTGTAACACTTCCAGATCCAAGTGAATCAATCTTTCAAAATGTGAAATGTTAATTTAAATTAAAAAAAAAATTAAAAAATGTTAAAGAATGCTACTTACAACTCTGGACGATGACTGTAGAATGCCATCATTGTCTTCTTTGATATCTTTTTCAGTAGGAGTACTTGATACACTTTTTTTTATATTAAAAATGCTAAATAATGATTTCTCATCCATAATTCTAATCGTTTTTAATATGTAAGGTGAAGTAACTTGTTTATAGCAAACGCTTTTAAAATTAAAATTAACACTGACACTGGCTATTATAGTTACAATGTTATATATAAATACTAGCTGAATTACCCGGCTTCGCCCGTGTGTAGTTTTTGTTTTATCAAAATTAAATTCTTAAATCAACAAAAATTGTTGTGTTTTAAAGAAGAAAAAATATGTATTTTACTTAATGCTATCAAGTGCTAAAAAGGTAGTAGTTGCTGAATTATAAAGACAACAAAAATAATAATAATAGTATTTACAAATGATATAACTTTTTTTATGAATATTTACAAATGATACGTAGTTGCTCAATTCTAATATGGTTTAAGTCAAAACCTCTTGGTATACCACATTTAGAGTTTTATTTTGTGGTGCATAAACGTACAAGTGGTCAGGTCTTCCAACTCTAGAAAATGCCACATACAATTGTCCGTGTGAGAAACAGTTATTTTCTAAATCTACACCACAATAAGTTAAAGTCTGACCTTGAGCTTTGTTTATTGTCATTGCAAAACAGATTTTTATTGGAAACTAAACTCTTCTAAACTTAACTGGAAAATCGTTGGGGTATAATGGTATTTTCGGTAAAAATATTTTTTCTCCCTTAGCACATCCAGTCAAAATTTCAGCTTCGATTACATTTTTTGTAAGAGAGGTGACACGAAGCCTAGTCCCGTTACATAATCTAGGAGAATTCAAATTTCTCAATAATATGATTGGAACCCCCACCTTCAGTGATATTTTATGAGGAGGCATACCAGATGGTGTTTGTGAATTTAAGAACTCTGTAGGAAAATGTACCGATTCTTCACTATCAATAACTGTATCGATAGAAAAGTAATCCATTTCTAGTGCTTGAAATCCACTAACTATTAGTGAGTTTATTGTGTCAGCTCGGTTATTTGTAGTTGTTAAAATAACGCGTTCGCATAACCATTCACTATTCAGATTTTTCAAATTCCCAATATCTTGGTACACACTTTGTATCAGTTGTTCCAACGAATTTGTCGATACTGCTAGTTTTTTTAAAATTGTTATGTATCCATCCTTATCATTTACAGTTCCGCTGCC